TAGTGAGATGTTGAAGCTGGGTGTAGAGTCAAAGCCTATAGAACCTTTCGGCTCAATCTGGCGTATTCTCTTGTTCAAAGCGGGTGAGGGTTGGGGTCTTTCAGCTAACCGATGCCTTTACCTGGTCACTTGCCGCGCTGGATTCTTTAGTCTTTCATGGGGTACTCTATTTGTCGTTTATCTTAAGATAGAACTCGTTTTGACGATCCCCCCCAACGTCCCGAATATCGTGACCATACGTCAAGCAGTTAAGATTTGTGCCCAACTGTTGACGGACGAACGGACGGCCGGACGGATGGACGGACGGACGATCATGCGATTCTACAAGCTGCATCTGACTACGTCAGATGAGCTAAAAATGATAAAACTGCCTAAGTCACATGTGTCATAAACGTTAAGATGTATGTTGTGACTAAACATTTGCGCAAATAAAGAACTGCAAGTTATAAAATACAACACTTAATATAAAATTCTGATAACAGAAATGTGTTACCAATAAAACTGGTATAAAATTTATTTAGTCCGAGTTAGAATGACCGAGAAATATCCATTTATACATCAGCACTTGTGGCGGAATTAGCAATGGCAAAATCAGCGTTTTTTTATTTTCACCATGGTCAAACTCATGTGCGAAATGGGGAAACGTATGTGAAATTTATACTCTTATTACTTAGTGCAATATATCCATGACTGACTGAAACCACTAATTTGGTCAAATGTTCTGTGAATTTTGAAATTCTGAAATTACAAGAAATATCTGTGCCACTTGGCATTCGATGCAAATTGGGTGAGCAGGGTGCGCATGACGTCACTAATCTGGGTGTCAACAAACCCATAGCAATGAACGAGATGTATTGTTTTCAGCCACACAGCAATAGCAACTACACATGGGAGCCAGCCAGTTACATAACTATCAGCTAACTATAGCATTAGATAGTATATTAACTATAGAATATTAATGCAGTATTATACTGGGAGTTACAGTGTCAAAACTCACATTTAAATACTAGCCACAAAGCTTAGCAGCTATACGCCAGCTGGCTTACACAGCAGCAGCCTATTGACACACATTTTGAATTAGTGGCGACTGGCAATTACTAACTCGAAGTGATAATAATGGCCAACATTGGCAGCAGCTCCAAGGTGTAGTTTCAACTGGCTAGCACTGGCAGTTGATGGAGCATAATAAATGACGTAATTGAACACTTAATTAATTAATGCAATAAAGAGAGACGTAAGAGTTTGCGTTTCAACAGATAACAACCTTGTCACAAGTGCGTGCACCTTGTTACACCTTTTAGGCTTGTTTCGTTACGGCATCGTATTCTCATGACATAAATTAAATTTAAATATCTCCTATTTTTAGCTCACCTTGACATCGTTAAGCTGAGCTATTGCCATGGGTCGGCGTCCGTCGTACGTCCGTCCATCCGTCCGTCTGTCCGTCAACATTTCGCTACGGTCAACGATAACTCAGGAACTGTTTGATCCACATGTTTGAAATTGGGTATAGTTGTTACTGCAATGCTCCCATATTGAACGTCCTATTTTGAAGCACGCTAGTCGACGTACTTTCGAACCACGGCAATTTTTTGGCAAAAAATGGGAATTGCCATTAGTCAGTTCAGGTTCAACGGATTTTGCTCATTTTTGGTATGTGAATGAATAAGGCTAGGGGTTTTGATATTTAAAAAAAAATTATGCAAATTAGGTAGGGTTTGGCAATTATATAGCATATTATATAGACACAAACAGTCTGTGGTGTCACACTCGTCTGGTTCGTTTTACAAGATTTCATTGACAATATCTTTAATGCAAAATTGGTATTTCTTCTCCCCCCTGCCGATAAAACGTCTATATTAGAGTAAAGATTTACAAAACATGTCGCAACGCAGCATTATACTATTTATTCAACACGCCATCGCTACCAATAGCAGCTAATAGCGCTACATCTATCGTCACAAATTGTGATTCAGTTTTGCGTTTATAATTATTATTGGCATATACAGATGGCAATCGTTTCTATAATGATACGTACGGCTGCGCATTGCTTCAAGGTTAAAAGCCGACTTCTTCTTATCCAGCTCTTTGTGTCCTTTTTTCGTCGGTGAGCTTAGCAGTGTCATTGACACTTTCATTCTAGGTAGCTGTTTACTAATGATTATATGAAAATTTTAAATACTCTATTTTGACAGGTTATGAACTTGCTCTACTGAAAACCGCATCCATCTGAAAAATAATAAATAGTACACTCGTGTGTAGAGAACAGGCAGGTGAAAGGATAATGAATGGGCCATTGGCTCAATTGCAACTTCCTATAAGGGAATATAATCTACGGTAGCAGAGGTGGCATTATAGGCAGCAGCCCTATAAACATAACTGTTGAAAAAGACAAATGATAAGAATTTACATGAAAACTTCAGTTAATCATTAAGCCCTAAAGCTAATATAAAGTATTAAAGTTAGGATATTTATTATACAAGTTTTTAAGTCATTTATTAACCATAAAATATGATAGCCTTTGCCAAGTACGACGACCATAGGCCCTTTCAGCAGCATCTAGCATCTCTCGCAGCTTATGGTCTTCATTGCGCTGTGACTTCATTTCCGCAGCGTTTGTGAGCTAATAGAGGCGGCTTTCCAGATCTTGCATCGTGAGCATTGGTCACCAATGGAATTCCTGAGAAGAAGACTGTCTGTCATGCTTGTGGAATCAAAAATGCCTTCTGGGCAGTTATCGACTTATAGTGCACTTCTGGTTGTTCATCAGTCAGCTTAGTCTTATTATTACTACTCCCCCCATAATTATCATGACTTATAATTAGCATTATGTATTGCTGTTCAAAACAGAAAGATTCTCAGTACAATGTATTTCACTTTTCTATTATTATAATTGTTTTTACACACATCTAAGCACACATATAAAATGAAATATTTACAAAAGCAAAACGTCAACCCTGACATTTTAAAATGGGGAATTCCATGATGCAGAAAGCACCTACTTTTCTGCCATCCTCTTGGTTGTCATGGCATCATCGACTTGTAACGCATCCAGGCTGGCTCAGGTCTGGCAAACCTGCATGAAAGCTAGCTGGATGATAGCCGACCAAGGCCTGAAGTACATTGTGTCTGTCTGTAGCATCACTGTTTTACGACAAAACATTCTATTAGCATAGTGCGCTACTGAGAGTAACACCCTCTTACCCTACCCCCCACACACAGACGCAGGTCAAGGACACCAAAGGCCTATATAAAATGAAAGTGTCAATGACAGCTGGTAGCTCCACCACAAACAAGTGCCGCTGAGCGACAGCGGCGCTCATCTAACGTCTACTGGCGGTGACTCTGTGGTGGAGTGGTGGGATTCTAGTAAAACGCTGTTAGTACCAAATGTGTTCACATACGCGCCCGAAACAGTGAATGGTATCAGCAACCTTCTCGAAGGAATGTTCGTTGGGATCGTTATGAAAGTTGCCCACGAGATGGCGCGTACGTTTAAGTGTCTTAAGATTAAAGATGGAAGCTCGCCATCGTACGTAGTAGCAACAACTATTTGACAAGACAGAATAAGGTAAGCACTCATCCATTTACCTACGCAGCCTACAGGCTGAAATAGAGAGGTGCCACCTGACCTAATTACGCAGGCAAAAATACACAGTATATCACCACCAACATGCACTGGCCAGTCGCCTCTGGCAGTGGAATAAGTTACATGTAACACACTGACAGTACAGAATGCATAGAAATTTATACGATTTAAGGAGGCGCATAAACCTTCTTTCAAGGCAAATTTAGCTTTTGAAATTTCACTGGTGACATTGTAGCCTCATACATCCAGCGCATGTATGATTCATAGCGCAAACCCGACAGTCAAATTCTTTCTAACAGTAAAACAAATGCCATGTTTAACCCTCCTCTTGAGGGTCAAAAGTTTATCAGACACTTAGCTCTTCGGCATGTCAGCGGAAAGTACATTTCATAGTCCTTTTAATAAAGCCATAAAAATGGTAGGTCGCGCTGAAACAAAAAAGTTTTTCAATCCGCGTCCGTCAGACGGCATGTCCTCGGAAAATGTCTAAAAATGTGTTCCTGTGCCCATTGACGCTCTTGACCTGTGGCCTCCAATTTCGGCAGTGATGGTTTTTCCTACCATGATGCAATACACCGACTATCACCGAGCCTAGGTCGAGCCCGTTTAGATTTGTGCCGCAATTCTGCATTTCCTCCATATACCTTAAGTTAAGGATACTCTCCACGTTGTGCATGAAATTTCATTGATTTTTCGTTTTCAACTTTATTTCGATGGTAACACTATGTGGCCACGCTGTGTACATGCTAATTTCTCCATATAACGGTACATGTGAACTGTCAGCATTCGTTTTTGCTTGCCCGGCAGTACTGTGTAGTAAGCAGGCGCGCTGACTTCATTATATCAGAGACATGATACAACCACGATATTAACTAAGCAGGTATCATTAAAGGGACAGTAGCCTCTAGGATTTTACTGCATACAACTGTACTTACTGTATAACAAAATCGTCTATTCAATATCCACATGTATTTGTCACCAGATACTTAATTAATTATTTACACATCAACGCTACGAAATTTGAAGCGCGCCATGACACCCGCGACGCTGCTGCCACCCTGAAAAAGTTGCGTATTTGCATTTTCGATTTGCAGGCAAATGACCGAGGGCTAATCACAAAAGTGCAATTATATTTATACCTAAATGCTATTTAACCGAACGATATTCATTTTAGGGCAAATTTATCCATATTATAACTGAAAACTATATGTCGTTTATAAGAGATTACAATCCTTTTGCTTTTAAATGAATAAATAAGAAATACCCTCGGTCTGTAGCCCTTGGCTGAAAGTGGTTTTGCGCAAACTTCTCAGATCGTGCGCTTTGAGTGGCGCCACGGTCGTTGTAATCAACTGTAGTCGTTAGTTTTAAAACATTTTTTAAAAATATTTCTAAATGGTGATTGAACCATGAAACTTTTGTATGTAGCGCAATTATAACCTAAATTAGCTGAAAATAACCCTAGAACCTAGAGGCTACTGTTCCTTTAAGTGTCATCCCTGCTACAGCTGTCATTACATGTATTCATGTACATTCATGTACATCTGCTAGTGATCCAACAAGTACCGCCACACCCAAAATAGTTCTAACACCTCGCAACACACCTTACTATAGTGGGGTTATGGCGCGCGTTGTTGACATGTTAGCTTTGTGACGTCAGGAATGAGCGACGGTTCGCGCGTTCTGCAATGGTAATCTCGTAATTTCTCACGAATTTCTCAAGGTGCATGGAACATTTTACGGCAATTTAGTGGTGTCAGTTTAGTCATGGATATGTCGCGAGTAAGTACTAACAATAAGATATAATCACATACGTTCACCCATGCACCAGGCGGCCACTCATTGTGAAAAATAGAAAAACGCCGATTTTCTCCGTTTTCGATTTCTGACATGTAGCGCGATGTATAAATGGATATTTCTCTGTGATTACAGACTCGGATTAATTTAATTTTACACTCGTTTTAATGGTAACATATTTGTGCGTAAAAAAGCACGTCAGGGATTGTTATTAAGTGCCGTACTTTATTAGTTATGCCTCTTTATATTCGCTAAAATTTTCTATTTTAACACACAACTTGATTTTTAAGTAGTTTTTTCGAGTTTTGCTCGGTAAATTATGAAAATTAAAGAAAAATCCTGACGCGCTATTTGGTCCATATTGTGCTTAACATGTGCGCAAAATTTTGTATCCTCACTCTTTCTGGTAGTTGGAGAAATATCAAAATACCATTTTTACATAAAAATTCAAAATTTGTGTGGTAACATAATTAGGTGCTGGGAAATTTCATGAATTTTTTGCTTGAGCATAGAGAATAATATCTCCTCTATAAAAAAACAAGTGATTGATTCGATTCATTTGCCAATAAACATTTAATCTTCACTAGAGCAATACCCGTGCACAACGTGGAGAGTATCCTTAAGGAGGGAATGTTTCCCCTCCTTTTACACCTCTTGACGTTTGACCTTTGACCCCCCAGCTTCGACATCCCAACTTGATTTTCAGATTACCCCTCCACGTCCCGAATATCGTAACCGTACGTCGAGCCGTTTAGATTTGTGCCAACTGTTGACGCACGAACGGACGCACGGACGAACGCACGCACCGGCGCGATCATGGCGATTCTACAAGCTGCATCTGACTATGTCAGATGAGCTGAAAGAGACCAAATGAGTGAGTGAGAAGAAGTCAGTTTTAATTGAGCAACCATCGACGTACATTATAGAAACGAAGAGTATATATGGGAGAACTCCATTATATACTCTTGATAATTATGTGTAATTTTTTATGGTGAAGAATAATAAATAATATTATATATATAAATTACAAATAATTTATAAACCAAAATGAATCACAATTTGTGAGGGTAGACCGGCGCTATACCCGTTATGATGTTTCTTAGCATAAATCATTATATCATAATAATGGAAAGTGTCAATGACACTGTAGCTCACCACAAAAAAAGGACACAAATGAGTGAGTGAGAAGCAGTTTAATTGAGCAACCATCGACGGTACTTATAGAAACGATTGCCATCTGTATAGCGCAATAATAATTTATAAACCAAAATGAATCACAATTTGTGATGGTAGTGGCTATACCCGCTTTGATATTTCTTAGCGATGGCATTCGAAATAAATAGGTTAAATGCTGCGTTCCGAACATGTTTTGTAAAACTTTACTTTAATATAGACGTTTTATCGGCAGGGTGGAGAGGAAATACCAATTTGCATTAAAATATTGTCAATAAAATCTGGTAAAACGAAACCAGTCGAGTGTGACACCACAGACTATATCTATGTTATCGTGTCTATATAATATGCCTATATAATTGCCAAAACCTACCTATTTTGCATAATTTTTTTTTAAATATAAACCCCTAGCCCTTAACTCATTCACATACCAAAAATGAGCAAAATCCGTTGACACTGAACTGACTAATGGCAATTCCCATTTTTGCCAAAAAATTGCCGTGGCTCGAAAGTACGTCAACTGGCGTGCTCCAAAATAGGATCGTTTATATGGGAGAATAGCAGTAACAACTATACCCAATTTCAAACATGTGGGTCAAACAGTTCCCAAGTTATCGTTGACCGTAGCGAAATGTTGACGGACGGACGGACGGACGTACGTATGACGAACGACGACCCATGACAATAGCTCAGCTTGACGATGTCAAGGTGAGCTAAAAAAAAGGCTGTATAATGTCATTACACACCTCTGAACATAATTAAAAAATATCAAAAGAAATTCCAACTACACGTACTGACTGAGCTGTGTGTGTGTGCCGTCGCGGTGTACAAGATAGACGGTGGGCCATCGTGTGACCTTCAATTCCTTTAAAAGACCTTTATTATCTGGGAGGACTCTCATTGTGTGCAGTGCCTTCACTTTTCTTGTGTCCATGCTGAGCTAAAAATACAAGCCACATAGGTTTCCAGTCGTGGACAGCACTAAGAGCATCAACAGTAAGCATTCATAACACACATTTCATTTCTACAGCAGCAAGAAAAGACCAAGACTTGGTGGAGAGGCTTGAAAAGCAACAAAGAATTTCATTTGTAGCTGGTTTTCTTCGTTAAACAGGAATTTCAGGCAGAGTTACCCAAATTATGCAAGCTATGCAGACTCTAGTAGACACAACATGTTTACTCTTTATACTAGTGACACAAGCACACAATTTTAAGAATCAAAATGACTTTGAAACCCATGTTTGCCGGGCAGTGAAATAACAAAATTACTAATGTTCAGCAAAAGATTGGGGTGAACTATCTATTTTCAAGTGGTGTGAATCATTTTAAGCATACACTTGAGTGTCACTCTGATTCAGTAACTAGAAATAAAATACATACCAATCTTCCAAGAAGGGAGGCGCCATCTTCGACTGTCACTAGTAGATGATGAGTTACCCGTGTGTTTATGCCTTTCCAAAGACCCATAACTGTGCTAGCACTATATAAAATGACAAGACCTTGCAATCTTAGTATTAACTTGTTTATAACAATAATAATGTGAAATAACTTTTTTAATGTTATTGAAAATAAAATCTCTGCTTTTAAGGATGTAGGCCTGTACCGTAGTATTTGGACGCTCGCCCGAAACTGGACGCTCCTAAGTGCGCATGCGCGCAGGCGCCTCTTGTTTAGCAAGGGCGCATGCGCAGCATGCGCAGTAGTCATCTGCGCATCTCGCCCATCGAAAACGGTCGCAATAAACAAACATGGCGGCCAACCCGGTCACTCATGGAAATATTTGATTGAAACAATTTGCAATGTTGTAAGTTAGTAAGACTGTGTTATGTGTGTCAGGTTACAAGGCGAAACAAAAAGAAAACAAAAGAGCATGCGCGCATGCGCACTTAGGAGCGTCCAGTTTCAAGCGAGCGTCCAAATACTACAGTACAGGCCTACTGAATATTGAATTGGCTTACGAGGCTATCTCGAAATTTGGCCAATGCTCTGATGCACCACCTGGTGGAGGCTGTTCCAACTGTTTAATGATCGCTTTGGTGAAATGGACTGCTTCCATTGAGCCGTTGATTTCTATTCCAATATCACCCTCATAGGTAAATGGCTTCAAGTACTGTTTATATATAACGAAAAGAATGTAGCACTTTTTAATACTGGTTTCAAAGAAAGCTGCACTATGCTCATAAACATAGTTAGGTGTCACATGAATAAGCAATATAATTAGCACAAGAATGAGCACTAAATATAAAGTAATAATTATATGTATGCCTACATATGCAGTGTTCTCATTAGGAAAAGGCCACCGGCCGAATTGACCGTCTACTCTGCTGTTTCGGCCGGTTACAATTGGCTCAAGTATGATATTTAAAAATAAAATAAAAATTATTCTCCAAAGTGAGTGTTTTATGAGCTACTACTAATAAATCAGTTTAGTATATTTGTATGCATGTTATGTGCACAAAAAGCATTGTTTTGTTTTTGAGTAACGCTATTTACGTACTTGTCTAACTCTTATAATTACTAAATCGTCATAATTTGGTAACTTTTGGTGAACTCTGAATGTACCAGGAGAAACCAAATTGGAAAAAAGGACCATACTGTAATCCAAATGGGTTTGTCTATATTCAGGCCGGTACAGGAGATAATTTGCATATTTTATCACGTGGTTTGTGTTATAACCAATCAGTTGTAATCGCGTGTTTGTGACGTCACTTCCAGCTGTGAAGAAGATGGGGAAGGAGGAGGAAGGGAAGAAGGGAGAAGGTGGTGGAGAAGGAGGAGGGGAGAAGCTGGTGGATGCCATCTACGGTCACAAATTGTGATTCATTTTGGTTTATAAATTATTATTGCAATATACAGATGGCAATCGTTTCTATAATGTACGTCGATGGTTGCTCAATTAAAACCGACTTCTTCTTACTCACTCATTTGTGTCCTTTTTTGTGGTGAGCTACAGTGTCATTGACACTTTCATTCTAGTACCTTCTACTAAGTTATATGAAATTTTAATACTCTATTGAACAGGGTTAGAAACTGCCTCTAATGAAAAACATCAATCTGAAAATAATAAATAGTACACTCTGTGTAGAGAACAGGCAGGTGAATAGGATAATGAATGGGGCCATGGCTCATTGCACACTTCTATATGGGAATATAACTAGGTACAGAGGTGGCATATAGCAGCAGCTATCAAATATAACTGTTAAAAAAAATTGATAAAATTTCACATAAAACCTTCAGTGTATCATTAAAGCCTTAACTAATATAAGTATTAATATTAGGATATTATTATACAAGTTTTTAAGTCATTTATTAACATAAAATATTGATACCTTTGCAAGTACGACGACATAGCCCTTCAGAGCATCTAGATTCTCTCCAGCTATGGTCTTCATGCGTGTGACTTCATTCGCTAGTGAGTAATAGAGGGCGCTTTCCAGATCTTGCATGTGAGCATGGTCACCAATTGAATTCCTGAGAAGAAGACTGTCTGTCAATGCTTGTGGAATCAAAAATGCCTTTTGCAGTTATCATTAGTGCACCTTTGTTCATCAGCAGTTAGTCTTATTATTTACTACTCACCATAATTACTATACTTATAATTAGCATTATTCTTGCTTTAAAACAGAAAGATTTCAGTACAATGTATTTCCACTTTTCTATTATTATATTGTTTTTACACACATCTAAGCACACATATAAAATGAAATATTTACAAAGCAAAACCTCAACCCTGACATTTAAAATGGGGAATTTTCATGATGCAGAAAGCACCTACTTTTCTGCCATCCTCTTGGTTGTCATGGCATCATCGACTTGTACTGCATCCAGGCTGCTCAGGTCTGGCAAACCTGCATGAAAGCTAGCTGGATGATAGCCGACCAAGGCCTGAAGTACATTGTGTCTGTCTGTAGCATCACTGTTTTAGGACAAAACATTCTATTAGCATAGTGCGCTACTGAGAGTAACACCCTCTTACCCTACCCCCACACACACAAACCAGGTCAAGGACACCAAAGGCCTAATAAAATGAAAGTGTCAATGACACTGTAGCTCACCACAAACAAGTGCCGCTGAGCGACAGCGCTCATCTAACGTCTACTGCGGTGACTCTGTGGTGGAGTGGTGGGATTCTAGTAAACCCTGTTAGTACCAAATGTGTTCACATACGCGCCGAAACAGTGAATGGTATCAGGAACCTTCTCTAATTAGTTTTATTCCAACATTACATCTCCCCAAAGATAGGAAGAGATTAGAAAATCTAAGTATACACATCATAGCATTTGCCCGTATGGCAGCCATATTGGATTTGACCATTGTAACAGCCCAAAGAAACCTCAAATCGATGTAAGAGCATCATAATCAGATTCTCTAACCCCGAAAACCCCATAAATATATAAACTTTTATCATACTAGCTCTTTCTCTTTTGGAACTACACTTGATCTTTAGCTCAGATGGCGGCCATTTTGGATTTGCCCAATATGGCGGCCCCAGGGGGCGCCCTTCTTGGCGCCCGGCAGAAATCGTAATAGTATGGTATAAGCTACCTCTGGACCAAATTTGGTACTTTTAGAAGAATCTGCACCAAAATATCCCTAACAGACCTGACTAAGAGCAATTTGGGAGTGATTGGGAGTGACGAGTCGCTCAAAATCAAAACAGTTTGATTTCTTGCAACTCGTCGCAAGCGACCAGAATCGCTATGGGTTGCAGTTGCACGTTCTCGCAGACGTAGCGATTTCACAGAAATTTTCACAGCGATTCTAGAATCGCTGTCAAGTTGCATGAAAAAGTCGCAGGTCTGTGCTAGGCTTTAGTAATAAAATCAAGCAATGTAACCAGCTTCTCCTCTACCTTAAATATAAGTCCTCCTCTTCCCTACCTCTTCCCTCATCCACCTTCTTGTCATCTCCCATACCCTTCTTCCTTTCATATATCCTTTGTCTGTCCCTTGCCTCAACCCTTTCTACATGTCTCCATCTTCTATCCCTCTTGCACCTCCCTAAAATTCTAATACACCTACAAGTGTGTCACCGAAACTACTTCACGTAATCACAATACGTGAAGTAGTTTCGGTGACACACTTGTAGTTGTAGGTGTATTCGAATTTTAGGGAGGTGCAAGAGGGATAGAAGATGGATTGTGTGGATGTGAAGATGGATGTGATTGGATACATTGTGATTCACATGCAATGTTGCATTTTTATATTGTCATTTGCCTACACGTATAATAAGACAACCAGAGATAACATAGATATAGCATAGTATATGGCATATTAGTAGTTACTCTGTTCTGATGTGTTGGGTAGTGTTACTATATCTGCAGATTTATATTTTGCAAAACTACAGCTTTTTTACTTTTGCATTGATCAATTGATACATTACATGCAATTATATGCTTTTAATATATGTACTTTCATTTCATGCATAGTCTTAGACTTAGTAAGTCTATTATAAGATATCTTATTTATTGCTTTCAATATTAGTAACAAGGATTTTAACAAAGCGAATAGTAAACAATACAGCAAGGGGATGATGGAAAGACCAAGATCTATTGTCAAAGTCAATGTTAACCTAACCATAACGTCATGATCAAACACATGTATAGTAGGCCTTGTATTAGTATGCTCATGGTATTATCTAAAAGGATAAATAATATTCATCAAACAACAAGCGTGGCGTGTCATTATCTGATACCAGTGGCAGATCCAGGATTTTGAGATGGGGGGGGGGCACAACTGCGTAGCCAGGATTTCATTTTAGGGGGTGCGGATTTTGTGATAGCGCCGGTGCCGGTGGGCTCGCTTCACGTGCCAAAGGGGAACAAAAAATAGGGGGGGGGGGCGCCCTTGGATCCGCCACTGCATTGGATACTGATACAGTGATAGTGATACGAACACACTCTACAGTCTAAAGTACTTAACAGATTAGTACTGACAGCGACATCATATCATCAGGAGTGAATAATGATAGATAACTAGTAATAGATAGATCTATAATAATATCTAATAATACTGTTGGTGACAACTCCTGCCGCTACGCGGTTACGCGGTGCACTACTTTATGCAGCAGCGCATTGATACCAACTAGGTGCCAAGGGTTGTGACGCGCACACCTTTTCGCCATTGTGGCTTACCGTTGAAGACGCGAATTTTCATGTGCAGAACAATGACAAGTGCTTCATGTGCAAGACCTTCAGGTTGACTTTGAAGTGTCCGTGCAAAACTTTATGGCTGCTCACGCATCCTACCACCAGGGGCTAACCGATCAAGCTGATATTGCCAAATCGAATAAATATCGAGAGAAGTTCCTGGCCGATGCCAACAGTTTTGTAGACACTGTCACACATTGGATTGCTGATGTATTGTATGAAGAGGCTAAGGAGGTTGAGGAACCAGACACTACCTTGCTTAAACCTGAACCAATGCTTGGCCAAGATAATGCTCTGACTACACCCGATAGTAATGAGGACGACGATGGCGAGTATGAGCATGACTCGGTAAAGGTACTGGAGAGAGAAATTGCAAACCTAGAGAAGGAGAAGTTAAAGCAGCAAAGAACATACAAGCTTTTGCTGCATAAACAAAAGCAGGAGAATGAACTAGTGGCGGTTCATAGGGAACAGGAATTAAAGATGCAACGTGAACAGTATCAAAACAAGCTGAGAATGATGAAAGTGGAGTTAGAGACGCAGAAGTTCAAACAAGAAGTCGGGTCTAAGTTCAAGCCGACAGTGCAGTCTACTCCCCTCCAGCCTGCCTATGCTGATGAGGACTTTCATACACCAAAGGCAAAGGCTAGTACAGAGACGTTTCACTTATCCACAGATTCCGCGTCAGACACTCCTGCGCAGAATGCCACTCAGACGTTCGTGAGCACACTGAAGTTTCTAATGGAGGAGACCCGGAGTTAGAATCAGTCGGTCATAGACAGCGTTACGGCTCCCAAGATATAAATTCTAAAATTCAACAGAGACCCTCTGAAGTACTACCCCTTCGTGAGGTTGTTCGACAATACAATGGAAGGAAAGACTCTAGATAGCGCCACAAAGTTAAACGGTTTGATACAACACTGCGTTGGCCAGCCAAGAGACCTGTTGGAATGCTGCCTCGTTAAGGAGCATTGTGAAGGGTACAAGCTAGTCCGTAGGTTGTTGAAGGAGAGGTATGGTAATGAAGATGTGATTGCTCAAGCGTGGCTGGATAAGGTGTTGCAGAGACCTCAACTGAGAGACATGCGAGACATGAGTGTTTACTGATGACCTCAGTACATGTAAAGAAACCTTGTCATCAATGAACTATCTTAACGAGCTAGAGACCAGGTCCAGTCTCCGTGCAGTCGTTGAGAAATTACCTGAGCATGTCAGAAACAGATGGAGGAAAATAAACTTTGATATTAAAAGTAGGAAACGCATACCGAACCTGGATGATATAATATCATTTGTAGACAGAGTAATGGATGAAGAGAGCGACCCTAAGTTCGGCAATCTTCAGAAATCCACCCTGAGGCAGCCTAGAGATAAATGCTTTGATTTCAAACAGCAGAGGAGAAGGAATGCTGCTTTCTCGTCTGACGCCAAGACTAAACCTATAGAGAAAACACATGAGCAGTCTATCATAGGAGGAAGTATTCCCAAGTATGTACCCACGTGCCCTATGTGTAAGGATACCAATTATCTCAACCAATGCAACCGATTTAGAGAGCTTGCCGTTAAAGACAGACACAGCTTCGTCCTGATGAAGAAGCTGTGTGTGAATTGTTTCCAATCAGGGCATTTCGGCAGAGACTGTCAGAAGAAGTGGACGTGTAATGTTCCTGGATGTGGTCAAAGACACAACAGGTGGCTGCACCTGCCTAACCACCAGACAGCTACAGATACCCTTGCTGCTGAACCCGTGACTACAAGAGGTAGCACGTTCCCAGCTAACAACCAGCCCGTAGGAACAATCAAATCCCAACCTAACATGAACGTCAGGTGTGCCTTCGCTGGTGCAGGACAGGGCACAATTGGCATGCCCATTATCCCTGTCGCCATTCAGGACCCTGAACGCAGGAGACAGACAGAGACATATGCGCTCTTAGACAGGTGTTCCAATTCAACGATGTGCACCGATATATTGACAACCAAGCTAAATGTTCTTGGCCGTCCTGGAATTATAGAGCTAACCACTCTCCATGGAGACCATGTCGAGGAAGAAGTGACGGTTGTAGATCTTGATGTGGGAGCTTTAAACAGCGGCAAGACGTTCCGACTGACCGACGTAATCTCCCGTGAGAAACTGAATGTGAGCTTAGACAACCGTGTGACTTCATCAGATATCAGAGATATGCTACATCTGAGAGACGTCACCCTGGTGAATGTGGACGTTTCCCAAGTGGATTTGATAATTGGCTCTGATCATGCACACCTTCTTATCGATGTAGAGACTCGTTCTGGTAAGGAAGGGGAGCCAATTGCAACAAGAACTCCACTAAGATGGGCTATGTTCAGCCCTACCAAGAAATTTAAACCCAAGAAAGCTAGCACTTACTTTGTCAATTCGACATTGTCCCTGGAGAAACAGGTGGAGAGATTCTGGAAGTTAGATGACCCATTGTACAAAGAAGAGACTGCTCTGTCTGTGAGTGACAGGAGTCTGAGTGGGAAAGCTCAATCCGACGTGAGGGTCCACATTACTCACTGGGGATCCCATTTAAGCAGAGACCGCCTCAGATGCTAAACAACTACAGCATGGCTAAGCACAGGCTTGATTTGCTTGGAAAGAGACTGTCCAAGGACTCTCAACTGCGGGAGAAGTATGTTCAATGGATCCAGGATTCTGTGGAGAAAGGGCATGCTGAAAAGGTGCCTCGCGAGCAGCTGGCCTTGGACCATCGTAAGGAAGCCATCTGGTACCTGCCTCATCACCCTGTGATCCATCCACAGAAGCCAGGGAAAGTCAGAGTTGTGTATGACTGTTCTGCCCCTTACCAGGGAGTCTCGCTCAACGATCTGATCCGTCAGGGACCTGATCTTATGAACTGGCTGATCGCCGTAATGCTCAGATTTAGACAGGAACCTATAGCATTTATGTCAGATAGTGAGGGAATGTTTATGCAGGTGAAGGTGCACCCCGAGGACCGGGACTGTCTACGTTTCCTTTGGTGGGAGAGTGGCGACATCACCAAACAACCCAAGACCTACAGAATGACTTCTCATCTGTTTGGAGAGGTATGGAGCCCTAGCTGCGCCAACTTCGCCCTTAATCGCACGACAGAGGACAACAAGGATAACTTTGACGTAAAAACTGTGCAGACGGTGGACAAGAATTTCTACGTCGATGACTGCTTAAAGTTCGTTGTCTCGGAAGAGGCGGTGAGACTGAGAAAGCAGCTGTGTGAGCTTCTCTCACTGGGAGGATTCAGACTCACCAAGTTTATCAGTAACTCACGCAGAGTTATGATGTTACTACCAGAGGCAGAGTGGGCTAAAGCAGCAGCAAGCTTGGACTTAGAGGAAGAGTGTCTGCCTGCCGAGAGAACCCTCGGTGTGCTGTGAAGAGTAGAGACCGACCAGTTCGGTTACAACGTATCCGTGAAGGATGTTCCTAGCATTAAGAGAGAAATGTTGAGCTACAGTGTATGACCCGTTAGGATTCGTCGGACCTTTCATCATGCGAGCGAAGATATTGTTCCAATAACTGTGCAAACAGAAGCTAGACTGGGATAAAGTGATACCCAAGTATGTCGTGGATCAATGGATAAGATGGCTTCAAGATCTCCCTAAGATAGCAGACTTTAAAGTTCCAAGATGTCTGAAGCCAAGCGACAGATTAGAGGCGCCAGTCGCATTTCAGCTACACCACTTCAGCGATGCGTCAGAGAAAGGATTTGGTGCAGTTACGTACTTGCGCATGGTGGATGCATCTGACAGGATTCATTGCTGCTTAGTGATGGCAAAGAGCAGGCTAGCACCGATAAAGCCAACAATCATTCCAAGGCTAGAGTTGTCAGCGGCCGTAGTTGCTGTAAAGCTCGATCAGGCTTGTAGGAAACACCTCGAGTACACTCTGTCAGAATCTGTGTTCTGGACAGATAGTACGATAGTTCTGCACTACTTGCGAAGCGAGGAAAAGATTCCAGACGTTCGTAGCGAACAGTGGCACAAATACATGAAGGTTCTTCGTCGAGCAGATGGAGACACGTTGATACGAACAACAATCCTGCGGATGATATCTCTAGGGGTACGTCAGCTGACGAGATGATAACTGATGAACGCTGGACGCAAGGTCCTACCTTCCTGTGGAGCAAGGAGGAGCTATGGCCAGCCCAACCTGACTTAGGAGACATATCTACCGCTGCAGAGATCAAGAAGGCTAGGGAGATTTACTCAACTAGAGCTACAGAAGCTAAAGCGAACAAGACGACGGTCGACTAACTGTTTGAAAGGTTTTCGTCGTGGCATGAACTGAAGCGAGCTGTAGGTATTATCCTTCGTGTGAAAGACAGTCCCTTCAGTCTTTCTATCCTTTCTGAGGAAGAAGTCAGATGTCAAACGTACTGAACCAGTCACAGTGAAAGAAATCCAGAGAGCTGAACAAGCTATTATAGTCTACATGCAGAGAAGCTGGCACGCTGACCCTACGAAGCTACAACAACTAGAGAAGCTCTCTCCCGTGATGTCAGCGGATGGAATGTTAAGAGTCGGTGGCCGCCTGTCGAATGCACCACTTCCTGACTCAGCCAAACATCTTGCCATTCTGCCTCCAGATCATCCCGTGACTAAGCTGATCATCAAACATTTCCACAAGATAACTGGTCATGCTGGTGCCGAGAGAGTCTTAGCAGAAATTAGACAAAACTACTGGAACATAAAGGGTCGAGTGTCGGTGAAACGAGCCGTTAGAAACTGCATCCCCTGCAAGAAGAGGAAGCAACCACCTAGTGTGCAATACATGGCAGACCTACCCAGAGATAGTAAAATATGCAAATTATCTCCTGTACCGGCCTGAATATAGACAAACCCAATCCAAATATGTCTGTTTACTGCAGCTCAAAATACACCAGATTGCATTTCAGAGCATCTAGGTTTTAACAAAAAAAAATTTGGGGGTACCCCCAAAACCCCCTGCCCGCACACCGCCACGGCTTGTTGCAAAAGCATTTGGGCCTGTTACTATAAAAGATAATGAAACCCCTGCATATGACTATGTATGTTTGGCTTTGGGCCATCTACTTAAAACCACAACAACTAGCTCTTATATGAATACCTTTACTGAGGGAATTGAGTCTATAGAATATTCACGACATATGCCTTGAGAGTTGCTTTCTTCTGCGCAATTAACAGCAGCAATGTTCACCACATCTTGCCAACCTGAAATTATTGCATCATCGCTTGTTACAAACATTTTGCCCATTTCTCATGGCTGTAAAAATATACAAGGCATGCCCATGCTATAACTAGTCGGCCTTTTGGGTGACCTTGATGACAGAACGCCTGCAGTTATGTGTCACACACGCAATAAATCTTTCTTAGAAACATTTAAGGCCAGCCATACAAGGCATTTTCTTTCTGTTAGCTTGTCAGTCTACAGTAAACACCCAGTACTGGTAATTATTATCATACCTATGACATTTCCTGGCTATAGATATAGGTAGCTATCTAAAGCATCAAAGAATGGTAGGTGCTTTCCTAGCGCAGACCTGCGATTTTTGGTTGCTCGTCGCTACAACCTGCAACCGCAAGCGATCGGTCGGTGTATCACTGGCACTGCATGTGCGCACACATGCGGTTTCGAAGCAATTCTAGATAGTCAGGGCTGTTAGGGCTATATAAAGGTTGTTTGGTGCAGATTCTTCTAAAAGTACCAAATTTGGCCCAGAGGTAGCTTATACCATACTATTACGATTTCTGCCGGGCGCCAAGAAGGGCGCCCCCTGGGGCCGCCATATTGGGCAAATCCAAAATGGCCACCATCTGAGCTAAAGATCAAGTGTAGTTCCAAAAAGGAAAGGGCTAGTATAATAAAAGTTTATATATTTATGGGGTTTTCGGGGTCAGAAAATCTGATTATGATGTTCTTACATCGATTTGAGGTTTCTTTGGGCTGTTACAATGGTCAAATCCAATATGGCTGCCATACGGGCAAATGCTGTGATGTGTATACTTAGATTTTCTAATCTCTTTCTATCTTTGGTGGGATGTAATGTTGGGATGAAACTAATTTGAGGGTTATCAATTATTAACAAGCACACATTAACATACTGATATACATTATCGTAAGGAAATAATAAAAGGAATGATTTAAGTACCAAATATTCTTGTAAATTTTTATTCTACGAAGCTCAAACATGGTGGACATGCTTCAACAAGAATTATAATTTGCTTGATTTGTCTATTCCATATTAGTCATCTATTCCTACATGTATGTTAGGTTAACATAGTTACAGTTACACAGTTGTGTATAAAGAGACAAATACAACAGGCAATGTAGGCTTTCCGATATGGCATCTTTGGTTAAAAGTGATTACTGTCATGGTTTGTGTCCAGTTATATAATCAGTAAGTTCGACTGGGCACAACAGTGCTCTCGATATATGTATGGCCTGTGCCCATACATTTTAGCATTAAGTCACACTAGTCGTTGCTGTCAACGTTGTTGCTACATCCGCTCTCGCATTTGCAGAGGATCGTACACCTGACACCGGCGATTGCACTTGCACCTTAATTCCTGTGCATGACTTGAGGCAGCTGCA